TGTAACAATTAACAATTGTCGGCTAATCAGAGAGAGAATTTTTGATAAATATGCCGATTTGACAGATAAAGCTGATAATTTCGCCTAATATTATATTGTTGAAATGCATAACTAACCCAGTTCCAAGGTTACCTCTCTTTCTCTCCACAGATGCTGCCAGGCCTGCTGAGTTTCTTGGTCAATTCCTGTTTCTCTTTCAGACTTTCAGCATCTGCAGTTCTTTGACTTCTGTTAACTTGAATAATTTCTGGGACAAAACAGTCCATCTACCAGCTCCACAGCTTCTTTCCTGCTCCTGAAAATCAGTCATCACAATGAACGAGCAGAATAGAACTCCCATTCCCTGACCGGAAACGGAACTCAGCCTACGGCGGTGAAAGCGCCAAATCCTAACCACGAGACCACCAGAAAGGGTACTTCAGACTCTTGTATCTTTTCTCAACGACACTGCTTCTGACATTTGATTTTCTATCATTTTCATCAAAATTCCATTTGCCTTTTTAATTACCTGCTGCACCTGCAATCCTACTTTTAGCGATTCATGCACGAGGGCACTCAAGTCCCTCTGCACAGCAGCATGCTGCAATTTTTTACCATTTAAAACATAGTCCATTTTGCGTTATTCCTACCAAAATAGATGACCTCACACTTATCAACATTGTACTCCATCTGCCAGACTTTTGCCCACTCACTTCGACTATCTATATCGCTCTGCAGACTTTCAGTGTCTTCTGCACACTTTGCTCTACCACTCGTCTTAGTGTCATCTGCAAATTTTGACACATTACAATTAGTCCCCAATTCCAAATCATCTATGTAAATTGTAAACAATTGTGGTTCCAACACTGATCCATGAGGCACACCACTAGCCACTGACCGCCAACCAGAAAAACACCCATTTACCCCTACTCTTTGTTTTCTACTGGTCAACCAATCCTCTATCCATGCCAATACATTACCTGTAATACCGTGCAACTTTATCTTATGTAGCAGCCTTTGATGTGGCACCTTGTCAAATGCCTTCTGGAAATCCAGATACACCACATCCACAGGTTTCCCATTGTCCACATTGCAAGTAATGTCCTCAAAGAATTCCACCAAATTAGTTAAACATGACCTACCCTTCATGAACCCATGCTGGGTGTTCCCAATGGGACAATTTATATCCAGATGTCTTGCTATTTATTACTTAATGATAGATTCAAGCATTTTCCCCACTGCCGAAGTTAAGCTCACTGGCCTAAAGTTACCTGCTTTTTGTCTACTTCCTTTCTTAAACAGTGACATCATATTGGCCGTTTTTCAATCTGCGGGAACCACCCCAGAGTCTAGTGAATTTTGATAAATAATTACTAGTGCATTTGCTATGTCTCCCATCACCTCTTTTAGTATCCTGGGATGCATTTCATCAGGGCCAAGAGACATGTCTACCGTTAGCCCCATTACCTTGCCCAGCACTGCCTCCTTAGTGATAATGATAATCTCTATCAGAATCAGTGAGAGTTTCACATCAGAGGTGAATTAAATGGGAAGAAGCACTGAAATCCATTGCTTTCATCAGCTCAGAAACAGTACTACAAAAATGCTCTTTATTGAAACGTACAGGTGTTATTGGCGATGTAACGGATTGGATGCAAAAAGGTTAGTTCCCTTCTGGAGCCGTCTCGGAACGGAGTGTCTAATATCAGAATGTAGGTCGCACATTTAAGGTAGAATCGAGGTAAAATTTATTCTCTCAGATGGTTGTGAATCAGTGGATTTCTTTACAGAAGAGGGTTGTCGAAGCTGGGCCACTAAGTATATTTAAGGCTGAGATCAAAAGATTTTTAGCAGCAAGGGTATCAAAGGTTACGAAGAAATCCAAGAAAGTGCAGTTCAGGATTATCAGATCAGGATTATCCGCTCATTTAATAGCGGAGCAGACTGGATGGGCTCAGTTGTCTCTTTCTACTCCTAAAATGCATGATGTTAATATAAGGCTGCAAAACTGACCGGAGTAAAATTCGCCAACTTAAAAATGTGTGGATCCCATCGGGGCACTGAACCGAAGTGAGATGTGCAAAGGGCAGCAAACAAAGGGGCAGTCATTGCGGTTGGTTGTTCCGGATGAATCTGTATACCAGGGTAAACAGGAAAAAACAGTCTTCAGTGCCCACATTGAGCCTGGCTCCATTAGGCCTACAGTCAACTCTCACAAACCACCGTTGCTCTTCACTTTTCCTGACCTCCCCTCTGTTCTTGTCTTAAACAAATTGCACGTCAGGCAATTGCAGCTGACATTGCTGATGCAGAACTGTAATATAGATTGAAGCGATACTGACTGGTCCACGACATAATTCTGCTTCTAAAGATCAGTCAATATTTCATAGCTATTATTGTAAATTTTAACCACGAACACGCCATGGCAGTGAAGGCACTGAATCCGAATCAGTAAACTACTCGGGAAGACTTCGATCTGTATCACCCTGGTCACTGCCTGATTCAGCATTGCATCTCTCATCCTTCTGCACATGATCGTCTCGGCTCCATCTCGGTTTTGTCGCATTATCTTGGTTTATAATGCACAGACTATCCTGTTGTCTATTACATTGCAGTTTCTAATGCATGAAACCCGACCTTACAGGGCACAGTCTTCGCTCTGTAGCGCAGTATTGAAAGCAATGGTCTTCTAAAGCACCGGTCATGAGTTTACTTCTAACTGGAGGATATGAGAATGTTTGTACACTGCCGCATCCAATATCCAAAGGAGCACATTCATATCGTCTGAAATTATGCCAATGTCATGTCCTCCACAGGCCAGCAGTTAGGTGAGGTGAGATATTATAAACTGCAGATTGACAAGGAAACAATGGGGGACCAACCGAGAGGGGAGCGGCCGAATGCTTTTTTGCTTTGCTGTAATCAGATTCTGGTTTTGAAGTTTGAAATTGGACAATATAACCCAAATGGGTGAAATCCTACTTTCTGGGCGCTGGTGTCTGCTGAGGCCTTTGTCACCTTCTGGGAAATATGTCTGTGTGTTACCTTCTGGGGGTGAAAATGTGGTCCAGTTCCCCAAGGAAACGTGAACATCTCAAACGGCCGGTCCATCGCCTCGGAGCACACAAGGCTATGGGCCAAGGCTGGAAACTGGGATGTTGAGCCTCCTTCCGTATTGTAAAAACACGATGATTCAATCACTTTGGAGGAGAAACAACTGTCGTAGAAAGAAAAAAATCCAGAAGTTCTGTCATTAAGAAACGATGCGCGTCGCCTTCCTCCCGTCCCTGGTGGTCTCGTGGTTAGAGTTTCGGCGCTTTCATAGGCGCGGCCTAGGTTCGATTCCCAGTCAGGGAATCAAGTTTTATTGTTCCTGATGGTGACAACAGCAAAAGCAATGCGGCTCTGTCCGCAATCCTGCAATGTCAGTTAATGCCCCCGAGAACATCAGAGTCCACACTACAGCCACTGAAAGAGGGGAAAGGTGCCTTAGCCGTCACTGCGCAGTCAGGCTATTCTATTGTGTTGTGTTGTTAACAGGGACGTCAGCAGTAAGAGTAACATTCACAAGATGAACAACCAGCAAAGATAATCACCTTCGCTACTTCAATTCAATAGTCTCCCTTTTGTGACGCGGTGAGTTTCACTGGCATTTGTCGTCAGGAAGCTACAATTCATCCTATCGAGTCTGCTCAGCCATTCAATGAGATCGCTGCTGATCTGATAAATGTCAACTCCGCTTTCCTGCTTTCCCTCCGTAACCTGAGGTAAACTCGAGCCTAATCACAATACCGTACATGACCGATATTTTTCGGAAGTTTAGATTACTTCAGTGACCTGTACATGTTTGCATGAAATTGAATAATACGAAACAAGCAAACAAAAAAGCCCTTCCCGCAATTCAACCCAGTGCGGGGTCAGCCATATGACAAAAGTAAGAAAGCGAAAACATTACCTCCATTTCTCCCAGCACAGATTTCTCTCTTGACGAGTTGAATATTTGCAGCATTTTTCTTTATAATTGTGACATTTTCACGGACAAATCCTCCCTTAATCCACAAACATCATAGCCAAAAACTATTTTGCCTCAGATTAAAATTGCTGAATATCTTTTCATACAGCTTGATGCCCCAATAATCCCTGCTCCATGTCAATAAAAGCTGCTCCGGGTGAGGTTGGAGCTCACAGCCTCGGCATTTCACGCGCCTCTATACCATTATAGAAGGACCGCGCGCTCACCGATTGCGTCACTTCTATCTGTATCACCCTGGTCA